TTGGGGGGGTGTATAGAAGATTGGACGATTTAATTTAAAAAAAAATTTTTTTTTGGGGGGGTGGCTCTGTTAGCGATTTTTCAACACTGTTCGCCTTTTAAAACTGCGTGGATGTTTGGCCTTAATTTTGTTTATTACTTCAGCATGCTGTGCGTGTTATGTAGCGAGGGCTCGACAAAGAGTACAAAGAGGTTGTGGGGTAATCCAGGTTGTTATTGATCGGGTCTCATCTGTGTTTCAAAGTTGTCCAATAAGCCGTCCTTAAAAAAATAAAATAACGTAAAAAAAAATATTTTAAATAAAATTTTTGTTTTTGTCAGTTTTGCTGGACTTGTTTTTGTTTTTCGTTTTCTTGTCAATAGCTTTTGATAGATTGTACCTCTTTATTTCAACTTTGGGCAATTGGGTTTGATTTAATTAAACAAATTTGTCTTTTAAGTAGAAGAGAAAACGATTCGTTTCTGGTCACCTGCAAGATTAGGAACGTTTTCTTCAACGATAACTTTACTAGACTAAATGAAGTATACATTTTTAACTGATTTACAGTATTCATAAATTGTCAAGAAAAAAATGAATGAATAATTAAGCACAGTTGCAAAAACAACCGGTGCCACTAAAATGAGTAAGACAATGAAGCCCTTTGGTGTGTGCAACTAACTGCCCAAATGGTCGCTTTAAAGGACAAACGGGCTAACCCAGATTCCGAGGATTTCCAGAAATCTTGACCTACACCAAAAGTGGGCATTGCCCTATCTATAGGAAAAGTTTGTTTCATTGGTGTGTATGTTTGTGTGGTTTTAAAGAAAACTCTCCTTGTATTTTTAAAAAAGAAACTGAACACGGGGCCAAAACTTTACCTTCGATTTTCTCAAAACTGCATTTTGGGGATAGCTCCCTTGTGTTTAACAGCGACCAAATATTGGGAGGCAGTTCACTTGACGGTCTACCGCAATGTTTCTGTCCTCCTCATCATCATCCAGTGCCAGATCTGCGACAGACATCGGCGATCATGGTTTTCCATTCATTCCTTTGCTTGGATGCTCTCAAAAAAGCTACGTTTCCCTTATCTTTCCCTGTTACCCATTTGTTTAGGTTCCTTAAATATGTTGTTCTGGGCCTACCCCTGCCTCGCCTGCCCTCAATTTTGCCAGTGAGAGCTAGATGTTCAAGACCCTTATGTCTATTCAAGTGTCCCAAAAAGTTCTACTTAACTGTATACTAATTTACCAGCCTGTCAACTGTAAGTTCCACTATGGCCTACTAGTTTGTTTCGGCTTTGGACTGTCAATAGGCCTACTATACTAAAATGTTTAGACCTTAATAAGAACAGTAAATGTTTTGATAGTTGTAGTTTAGAGGGGTTATGGGTTGAAATTAGGACTGTAATACATGAGAGTGCGAATATTTCGCCTCCTCTAACAAGGCAGAAAAAGGTCTTTCGTTCCAGGTAGGGGTGTCCTTTGCATGATGTTAAAACTTCGAAAAAGAAAATGTTAGAAGCAAGCCTCACGAAGAGACAAATGAAGATGATTTGGATTTCTTAATTTTAAAGTTCAACTGGTACAAAATTAGTAAAAGTTACTCTTTGTTTGTTTTTAAGTACCGTTGTATTCTGTAAGTTAAGTGCCTATAGAATCCAGATTGAAGTTCAATGCCCCAGATAGATCTAGGAAAGGGAATACGCTGAGGGGTAAGTGGGGGGGGGGGGCAAGGTGTGAAATCAATATCACATGAGTTGGACAAAAAAAAACCCAAACACAAAAAAAACCAACCTTCCAATTTGTGATCAAATACGAGGATTTTGCAAGAGTAGAGCATACAACAAATGTAATGAAGAATTTCTTCCTCATCTGAATTTGTCATTTCACCAGGAAAATAATTATTCTCAAGCTAACTGCCGAAAAAAAACGTGCGAACTGGTGGCAATTTTAAATTAGTCCATGCCAATAGCTCACGACACTTGGACGTACGACTTGACTCATCAGATTGAGCATTTTGCCTGTAACTGTATGGCAGGGTTCAGAGAGTGTAAATGACGAGTTGCCAGGTGTGTGTCTACAGTGAGCCAGTGCTTATACCCACTGCACTCTACCTACCCAACATGGTGAAATGGTATACGTAATTTTAAAGCCACTATTAACACTACAAGGTTATTTATTTTAAGAGGCGGGACTTCTGAGTTTAAAGTCCATCTCCGAAAGGACCGAGCCAAATGGGAAATTCGTGTAAAGTGCCTTTCCCAAGGACGCAACGTCGGACCTAGCTGAGGCTCGAACCCACGAACCCGCAATCTCACGATCATGGGTCCGGTAGCCTAACCACAAGGGAGCAACGATCAGAAACAAGAAAGAGGAGATATTTATATGGACAATAGATGTTTGATAGGAAAAAAGGAGCAAACCACACCAGAGCACCTGCCAACCACCACCCGCCAACGAACAATGGATTTTTCTAACACAGGAATAGCGAGCAGCTCCTAAGTAGAGACATGATTATTTTCTTTTAGGGTAATTCATTCCTACTCTTCATATTTCCCCTCTGTATCCAATAGGCTTAAGACTGTGTCATACGCGCATCCTTCAATCTTCAGTTGGCTTTTTGATTCCAAATATTTAACATATTGAATTGATGTTTGAAAAGGCAAATGTTGAGTACACAAGTATCATTAGCAGATTTTAATTTTTCAGGCTAAAAATACATGCTAGGCACCTTTTGGTTTCGCCTCAGAGACAAATACATGTACATGTATTTCAGACTCAAGGTACTACAAACCAAAATATGATTTACAAATCAATATTTTTTGCTTTTAGTCAGTTTAGCCATCGATAAGTAGCCTTTTCACTCTATTTTTAGGCAATGTTTTCTCAACGTACTTCCTATAATGCGTTGTGCCCCCCCTCCCCCCCTCCCTCCCAACCTTTTTACTGCCCCTAGATGGACATCATGCTGAGGTGGTTGAACTTCATCATCGAGTTCCGCGGTCACGTGATCCGCCCCCGCCATTGGCGACAGATCGAGGTGGTGCTGGGGGTGGAGTTTGGGGCGGAGCTTCCTCTCACACTGGCCAGTCTCATGTCACTCAACGCCGTGGCGAAGCAGAAACAGCTGCACGGTCTGCTGAACAAAGCCAGGGCCGAGGCCAACGTGCAGGCCGAGTACGACGAGGTGAGTGGACAGACAGACAGACTGACTGACAGACAGACAGACAGACAGATAGAGAGACAGACAGACAGACAGACAGACAGACAGACGAAGACAGAGAGAGGGGTGTAAGGAGAGAGAGAGAGAGAGAGAGAGAGAGAGAGAGAGAGAGAGAGAGAGAGAG